GGGTGTTCAGGATGACCAGCCATGAGCACCAGAGACAGGACTGAATGTCACAGGTACATTGAAGTATGGAGTTTTTCAAAAAGCACATTCAAGTAACATGAGGCCACCGGGCCTGGCAAGAAATGGAATCCTACTAAAAGCTGAAAGAACCATCACATAGCATTGATGATATTACATGTCCTTACAAAAGTAAGACAAAATAAAAAATAAAAAATAACTAACCAACTATATCTAAAATACATTAAACACAAATATTCTCTTTCCCTGAAGGGATTCCTGTCCCCCACAATCTGTTCCCAGGCTACCTTTCCAGCTTGGCTTCTAAATTGCCTCCTCACTGTCCCCTCTGTTGCACTGCACTGTTCTGTTCCCAAATGAGAGATGTACTTTCTCCGAGCGAAGAGCAATTGTTCTTTGGCTGAGACGCCTTCCCCCTACCTCCCTACAGGACTAGTAACCTTCTCTGCTCTCTCAGGGTATTCTGCTTGGTGTTTATTCGCTCTTTCTCTTACACCGAGAACCTTCCCTTATTTACCCTGGGCTCTGTAATATAAAATGGTCACACACATGATCTTTAGAATGAGGTGAAACGTGTAAGATCCACCCTTGTCACTAGGAACCACTTAAATAGGAAGACTGTACACTGTGTGTATCCATGATGTATAATATCCATAATCCTCTTTCACGCAAAAGCAAGGGGGCAGCATTGGTTGGGGCTCTGTTGTCGCTCGTTGATGGGTTTGGTTTATAGATAGGGGCGTGGTGACACAGAGTGATTAAAAGACTTCTTTACCGTCATTAAAAAGCTCACAAAGTGAAACAGAACTTAAACCAATGTCTCTGGATTCCCAGTGAAACGCTGTTTTCGGTTTTTGTTTGTTTTGCATTGCGTAATTCACTCTCAGGCCAAAAGATTATTTCCACCCTCTGCACATTTCTTACAAAGAACAGAAAGCAATCCGGGGATTTTACCTGCCTTAGCAGAACAAAGTCCTAAAGGAAGGCAATGCCGTAAACAGGGAAGAGCTCTGCTTCTGAGTCAGGGCAGCTTTCAAACCCGGCTCCACCAGGCATGGCCCAGAGAGCTGTCAACTTAGGCCGCCTCCCTGGCTCATTTCCTAAACTCTCAGGCGGGTGAGAGATTCTCTGCCTCCCCACCTCCACAGTGTTCTCCATGACGTTAGTGATAATATGTATGAAATCCAGCCCCGCACACAGTCAACTTTTATTCACTTTTAAATAAAAAGCTATATTCAAAGGAGCATGTGTGTGTGTGTGTGTGTGTGTGTGTGTGTGTGCATGCATGCACACATTTGGAGAAGAAAATGCTTTGCTATCATTTTTAGGTGGTTTGTGTAGCAAATAATTTTGATATGGCAATATTTTTAAAATTCACCGTACTATATGTGGTGCCATTCCCACTACCTTTCCAACTTGCAATCTCAAGTTCCAAATATTTATTTCCACTCTGAAGGCAGCTCTAACAGTTCGGCTTTCTAACATGCTGCCAACGGGACACCGAGGGAGAAATGTGTGACACGTCAAAGTTTGCTTCTGGAATTCCAGCAAAGGAGAACTTCTCAGAGTTTAGTATTGGAAATGTTCACGAAGGCAATAAGCAAAACTGAGATAATGAGCTTTGAGCATATATTACAGTGATTTTCATCCTTAAAAAGTAACATATTAAGGGGGATGGGGTGAGATACTCTATCTAAAAAGCCCAGAAACGTATGGCTGAGTGGTTCTTTAACAGTGAGCAAAACCTGTGACCCCTCAAATTTAAACTTTTTCCTAAATTGTTTACGTGCTAGTGGAGTCCAAGGGGAGCATGTTTGGGAAAATTAGCATGCACCTTGGGAACTGAGGAAGGAGCTGAAGTCACCCTTATGCTAAGTATTAGCTGTGGGACTTTGGGTAATTCACTTAAACCACTTTGATCCTATTTTTCTTCTCAAAAAAAAGGGGGGAGGGGGGGCGAGTTACAAAAGCCTGACTACTCCATGGTCTGGGTGTGAGAGTCAAATTGCATAGAATATGCAAAATCCAAAGTGCTTTTTTTAGCGAAGGAAGCTTTATTACCACTCTAACTACCACATTATAATTATATTACCACTATTATAATTATCCAAACTTCAGTTCCTTAAAAGAAAGCAAATGTTTGCTCTTGATCATTTGCTTTTATCTCCACCTAAGATGAAAATGATGTTCCCACACTCCTGAGCAAATAAGGAAATCACAGTACTGCTACCAGAAAGACCGAGTTCTGAAGTCAGAATCATGCGGCCTGAGGTCCAATTCCCTGCACTTGAAGCACACGGCGTGGAACTCACGTTCTTAGGCTGTTATATTTCTTTTGTATAAATCAGTCTTCCCGGAAGAGGAGATGCCACATGGAAGGGTCCAGAACAACAAGACAAAACTCTTGCTAACATCATATTCATTTTCAGTCCTCTAGGGTTTCCAGGCTCTCTCCTTTGCTCCTCACATATCTTGTTGCACCATGAAGATGGGTGCCTGACACAGGGAGAGCCTCGTGACAGGCCAAGACGTGCCGGCACAGACATTATAGTAAGTGCGGTACCTTGATGCAGGAGAGAGGTTGGTTCATTCCCCAGCATGTGCAATTACCCCCTTCCACCCCCTCCATAGCTCAGAGCCAGTTTCCTCTTTTATTTTTGTCAACAACACTTCCTTTTTGTTCCTCTCCCTCCAACTAGGAGAACATCACTGACACAGACACAATACACCTTTTCATAAGGAAGCAAATGAATATGTGGCAGATGGGCTCTGGGGATTACAACATGTTTCCTGCTCCCATGGTGACTCAATGGAGCTGGTATGAGAACTTATCTTATTTAAGAAGCCAGCTTCCCCGGCAGAATTATGAGTCACAATTTCCGGTAGAAAACTCACTTTCCAACAGAATTTGGGGTGGAGGTGGGGGAGCTCCTTGGATGAACTACAGTAAAGGTCATTCAGATAAGCAACCCTGCGGGACCCCTGGGGAGGCACCGGCCCCAGCAATTTCTGGGTCTTACCTGTTCTCCCAGCAGGAGCAACACAGTGACCTCTCCCCTTTCCTTCAAGGTGAGGCAGCACATAAAACCACACTGATGAATTGCTGGTATGAATCCAAACAAGAAGTGCCATTATAAAATTGGTCCATTTGGCCAAAAAAGAGATGTGAAGGGAATATAGATGGGGGGAGGGGGGCAAGGAGGAGAAGGAAGTAGGATGGAGGCTGAGAGAAGAAAACAGAGAACAAAAAAGGAGTAGAGTCCGGCTGGTGTGGCTCAGTGGTTGAGCATCAACCTAGGATCCAGGAGATCAAGGTTCGATTCCCAGTCAGGGCATATGCCTGGGTTGTGGGCTCGATCCCCAGTCAGGGGCATGCAGGAGGCAGCAGATCAATGACTCTCATCATTGATGTTTCTCTCTCTCCCTCTCCCTTCCTCTCTCTGAAATCAACATACATATATATAGGAGGGGACAAAGAGAATGAGTTAAGGCAATGTCAAGAAATAAGGAGTGTTAAGAGAAAGCTAAAGCAGAATAGGATAGGCAGTGATTGGCAGGGCTATTTTAGTTAAGATGGTTAAGGAAGGCCTCTGTAAGCAGACAACATTCAGGCATAGAATTAAATTAAATAAGAACAAGCCATAACCAGGAGTTATATTCAGCATATTTAAAAACCTGGACATCATGGCACTAACCAGTCAAATGGTCTAAACAGCCAGTAGAGCTGCATAGTAGTATATCCCACCTGAATATCAGCCTTGGTTATAATCTATGCTTTCCTCTGTGAAGACCCCAGGGGCCAATGAGATTGGAAGTTATCTCTATCTCTCTCAGCTTTGAGCTTTACGCTGTCCTAGTCCTACCCCTCCTTCAGTGATGTTTTTGGTTTACAATAAAATGCTTTAAGTAACATAGCTAAACTGAAACACATAGAAAAGATCATCAGGATGGTAGGAGGACTCGAATCCATGCCATGTGAAGAGCAGTCGAAGGCATATATTAGAGAGCATGATCATGGTTATATGTTCACTGTTTTAACATTTCTGACGTCCTCTCACATAGAAGAGGGAATAAAGCAATGACATTCAAAGTATGGCCATGGACTTCAGGGGAATTATACATGAAAAGCTTTTTGAACTTAAGACATGTAGGTTCCTTGCATTATAATTAGAAAACTACTGGATTGTGTACTTTTCTATTTAATTCAAGAAGTTGAACTAAAGAAACGTATGGAAATGACACAGAAACAAATTTCGGTTGTATGTACTAAAATCTTTGTAAAATTTGATCAGTCCAAAGATATAATGGGCTATAAATAGATAATCACTAGTTAGAGGTACCAAAAAATAGTTCTGAATAGGAATTCTAGAGATGAGAGGAGACCTGAAAAGATGAGCTTTCAAGTCCCTTGTAAATAACTTCATATAATTGAGGTCCATGAAGGTTGCGTTTGGTTGTTCAAACTCAATAAAGTCTTTGGCTGGCTCCTCTTAGGAAGTAACACCCAGGAATGAGCTGGGCAGGTCTTTCTTTCCTATGTAGAAGCAGCAGCAGAAACCTGTCATTATGCATTTGTTTTTATAAGGTCTCAGGGGACTGTTACCACCAAGGCCTTCTCCACCCCTGGCTCAAGTCTGGAAAACAGTGCTACCATCACTGTCATTTCTTTTCCCATAGGACCTGACATAAGGAAAAGAAGCAGGGTTCTACCTGGTTTGGATTTGAAGGCGATGGAAAAGTTCTACATTTTTACACACTGGACCACTACCCTAATTGCACTGTGTACCATGAAGACTAGAGAAGTCAGTGGTTCCCCCATCATCAAAATTCTCTGATTCTGTCAAATTTCTAATTCTGTGTGACCACAGAAGACAATGGAAACAAACAATATTATGTTCTCTTAACTCATTTTCAGAAAGACTTGAGATAATACCCTATGTATGACTTGCATTTCCATAGATTGTCAAAAGCCATTCACTTACCCGAGGCATCACTTTGCAGGATCCCATAGAAGTAGAGACTCAATACACACCACAGAAGTCCCATCTTGTCTACCTAAATACAAAGGTAAGGGAGATTACTTATTTACTCTCAGTGCTTAAATAATATTCAGTGCATATGCATGCTGACTATTGACCAGGAACTATTCTAACAATAGTTTACATTATTAACAAATTTCATTGTCAGAACCAACTAATAACACAGGCTTTTTAAAAATCCCCATGTTACAGATAAGGAAATTGGGACAAGTTTAAATGACATAACCAAGATCCTTGGGTAGAAAGTGGTAGAGCAATGATCAAACTCCAGCACCTGGGTCTAGAACCATTCCTTAATCACTGAACTATAGCTGCCTATTTAAAAACAACTAGATTTTTTTTCATGAGTCACATTCTGGCAGATAAGTTTGATCTTCTTACCCTCCTTCACATTCCCTTGGTCTATTCCCAAATGGAAATATTTTATAACCCAGGCACTTTCCCTTCTTCGTGATGAATAGAAAATCTAGAAATCCTGAATTCTGATTTGGTTGGCAGTCCACCACACTCTGAATTTATAGTAAAGGGAAATAGGTAAGCCTCATGCCCTATTGTGGCCACTCTCTTCTTCTCACTGGAAAAGACAAATGATGAAGCTTGAATCCAATTTCTGTGATCTTGAGCCTTTCTGTTGATAACCAGCTGAAACAGTCAACCAGCAAGAACCATGCCCTTACTTTTGGTTGTGTGATCTTTAGTGCAAAAGGCCTGGAGATTTAAAACTCTGTGAAATAATTTTTCCCCTACTACCCTAGACATCTCTGGCCCCTGATGAAACCTTTCTAGGGTTGTAAATACTAAAACCTATACATTACTGAAAAATTTCATACTCAAGATCTCTGGTTTCTGTTTTGAACACAACAACATATATAAGGGTGCTTACAGAGCTCTTGGAAACTTGTCCAGATCATATTTTTAGTAAGTGACAGAGATGAGTTTTATATCTGGCTAACTATAAGTCTATTACTATCCCAAACATTAGCCTATGCCGTAAGTTTTACAACCTCAGGGACCCACCAGTCTTAAAAGGTCAAGGAGCTATTTGATGAATGGGGTGACCCTATAACAGCATTTAAATGAGACAATTTTAAGAGTGCTATACTAAAACAATAGGTGTAAACTAATACTGTCCAAGCAATCCAGAGTGTGTGGTCACTTTAAAGGGCAATGCAAGCTTCTAACTCCTGTCACCTCTCTTGACCACCCATCATCAGAAATCTCAGGTTTATATTGTGCTTCCTCCTTCAGCACAACTGTACACAAATCAGAGGTGAGTTGATTGTATATTAAACAACTGCTTTATTTCAAAGTTTAAATGTCTCTTTCTTATCACCACCATTCCTTTTCCATTCTCACACAATTACATTAGGGAATCTTCTCTCCATCAGTCATTCATTTGTTCAATAAAACATGAGCTGAAGACTTTCTGTTTATAAATCTTTATGATATAGCCATAGAGGCCTCTGGTAACTTAGATGTAGGGACCTCTAAGGGCACTTCTCCCCAGTAGAAGAGATAAACCACATGCAAACCACTTTAATGTCATCAGCTATGAGCAATACACATGCAGAGGCTTTATATGACATGTAAAGATTTATCAGACAGATATTCTAGCACCAGGCAGAGTTTAGCAGAGCCTTAAAATGTGTACAAAAAATAACCGCAGTACAGAGTAAACAGTGATAAAACAGTCAGAAAGGAATAGTAGGACAAGTGTTATTGAAGATTAGCAAAAGACAGAGATGACTCCAGCTAAGGCAATCCAAGAAGACTAAACGCAAGAGGCGGCTTTTGAACCAGCAAGAACTGGTTTGGAAATTTAAAAGTGAGGCAGAAGGAAAGTGTTCAGAAAAGAAGCTCAATGGGGAATAATGCTGAAAGATAGGGAGAGCACAGAGCATAAATAGGAAACAGTCTAAAAATAATTCCGTTTGGCTCAAGCACAGGGTATTAGGAAAAGAAGTATATAGAAGATTTTGTTGGAAAGCACGTAGAGTTAGGATTACAATATAACAAGGCTTTGAGTAGCAGGTTAAGAACTTGGGATTTAATTTTAACAGCAAATAGGGGAATCATTGAAGGATTCTGATTAGAGGAGTGATATTATCATCAAGCTCTGCCTTACAGAGATCATTCTTCCGGGCACGTATTGGATGGATTGCCACTAAATTCTGCCTCGAAATCATTTTGGCTCCTGAGTCTGTCATCATGGTAATTGTTATCCCCCTAGCTTTGTGTCATCTATAAACTTGATCAGCATGCCACCTAGGTCCTCCTCCAAGTCATTAATAAAATTAATTAATAATTCTGCATTAATCCTTGTCAGTGGAGAGCAACCAGACATTTCATTTCAGATTCAGGGCACAGATTCAGCCCTAATACTATTCCTAAAGCAACACTTAGAAGACATTCTAATTAGGGTGATTGAGGACCTTAATTGATATTCTCATGAGTAACTGGATTATGCCAGAGGCAGCAAGGAGTCGGGTCACCAAGGTAAAGCTAATCGAAAGATAACTTGTGTGCAAAGACAAATCCAGGGTCAGTCCGGCCCTGTGATGAATTAGAATAAAGCAGACTGAAAATAAAATGTGATTGGGTAGGCTGTTTTTGGAAGACTGAAGGTACCAAGGTTAGTGGGAGGCAGCTGGCTGGTCTGAGACCTCTCCAAGAAGGCAGGCTCATTTAACATCACCTTTCATCCTGCCTCAGAATTGTATTATTGTGACTAGTAATATACTATTTTTTTAAAAATAGGAAATATTTATTGATTTTTAGAGAGAGAGAGGAAGGGAGAGAGAAAAAAATCTTGATTTGTTCTTCCACTTCTTTATTCATTCCTTGATAGCTTCCTGTATGTGCCCTGACCAGAGATCAAACCTGCAGCCTTGCCGTATCAGATCAAACCTGCAGCCTTGCCGTATCAGGACAACGCTCTAATCAACTGAGTAATATACTTTGGTTCTTGGTTCCTGGTTCTTGGTTCTTAGGGGGAGAGAGCAGTAGATGTTTGCAGAGATGGAGAAACTGTGAGAAAGCAAAGCAACCTGCCTAATGACACATGGTTTCTCAGAGTCTGAATTACAAACCAGCTTTGGGTTACTGTGATGGGGTTTAACAGACTCCACCCTTATTTCAGATGATTGGAACATTTATATAATAAATTTCCAGTCAGCCTCTCCTGCATTATCCATTTTATTTACTATATGATCATGTTCATACTTCCTCTCTGAGGTATTAATAGTACTTCTCTCATATTTAACGTCATGCTTTCCCGGTATATCAATCTGGGTGCCTATATCATCTAGAAAGAAGCTTCAAATATGTGCTTAGGTTATGTAATAAACAACAATGTTGATAATGATCGTTAACGTGTGTCCAGAACTTTAGCAGTGACCCCTGCATATAAAGCTTTCTGTTTTCTGCATTCTCCAGGCTCAGTGAGCTTCAGGATCTCCTTGTCTCTGAGTTAGCCCTGAGCACTGGATCTCTCACTGGGCCAGCAGGTGATAGGCTAAAACCAGATTTGCTTCCCTGAAGATGATAATTTTTCTAACTAACCATTTGCTCAGCTTTCCTTCTGCACAACAGCATTCCAATAGGCCACAGGACCAGATTTCTCCCTCAATTTCCTGATTCCACATCCATACAGCTCCACACTCAGATCACAGCTACTCTTTGAAGCCCATCAGCCTAGTTGGGGCTTGGACTTCAACCTGGTGTTTGCCAGCCCTCTTTTCCAGGAGTCTGCCCCTCATGCCCTGTGAGGTCTTCTCCAAACTGGATAAGCTTCTCATAATCATGAAGCTGCTGTCATCTGCTTCATTCCTGGTGAACAGATGCCCTTTGCTATGACCTGCCCAGTGAAAACTTAGCCACTAACACCAAGGCCCTAACCCTGGATGGTCATCCCCGTGAGAGGTCAGCCCTGCAGCCACGTCACTAACTTGAGTCCTGATCCCATCCAGATCCTTCTCTCTCCCTTCTCTAACTCACTGATAAAGTGTGAGTAGGTCTTGCACACCTATGACAAATAAGTCTTTGAAGGATATAGGCCAAATTATTAATTATCCCACTTTACAGAAAAGGAGATAGCATTTATTTAAAAATCAGTTATTTTCATCATCAATCTTTTATCTGGTTTCTAATTTTTTGACCCATAAAAGGATCCCTGTGCAGAATATTCCAGAATCCAGTATTTATCAATAAAACAGTTTTATCAAAGTGACATGAAAGGTTCTGATTCAGGGTAAAACAAAGTAAGCAAACTTTACCCTGTGGTTCTCAATGAACGTAGCTCGAAACCTGGGCAGAATGTGTGGAACAACTACTTGAGGACTTGAAATATTAAATAATGGCACGTAACTTTCAAGTACATACAAGCCACACCATGCATCATAAGTCACACCTTCACACACTTCAAAGAATTAAAGACAATCCTGTAACGACAGAATTAAGCTAGAAATCAATAAAATAAAAGTAACAGGGTAATCTCCAAACACTTAGAAATGAAGGAATATGCTTCTAAATTATCCTTGGGTCAAAGAGAAAGTCTCAGGGAAATTAGAAAATATTTTGAACTGAACAAAAAAATATATATATATCAAAATATGTGGGATGCAGTTGAAGGCGTATTCACAGGCTAATCTGTTGCATTACAGGCCTACATTAGAAAAGAAGAAAGATTTCGAGTCTATAATCTAACCTTCCATTTTAAGAACTTGGAAAAAGAAGGAAAAAGAAACCAACCAGCAAAATGAAGAAAATAATAAAGAGTAGAAATCAAAGCTTTTAAGAGAAAAAAAAACAAAGAAAAAAATAATGAAACCAAAAGTTGGAACTTTGAAAGAAAAATATTTGCTAAACCTCTAGCTAGGTGAAGCAAGAAGAGAAACAAAAGCACATGTCACAAACATCAGGAATGAAAGACGGTACATCACAGGCATTAAAATGGCAATAGGAAGATGCTCAACACCTTACGCACATAAAGTCCACAACTTAAATGAAATGGACCAA